AACTTCTTGAATTTACCCATATCTACAATTTACAATAAGTTAAACTATTAGCTTAAAGACAATAAAATTAACTAAAACCATATTGTACGACTAATATTACTCCATCTCATAACTAACGTAACATAAATTCAACTAACTAACAACAACATAAATTCGAAAATTAAGTACTAAAATTGCTACGATAAGTAATTCATAACATAACAATATAACTACTAAAAACATCATTAGGCTATAATACAAAAATTAAATTATACTATAACTACTAAAAACATCATTAAGCTATAATACGAAAATTAAATCATACCGAAAATTCATGTTCTTTGTATTATGCTTGGTTTTGGTTGCTGAAATTTGAAGAGGGGGGAGTGGTTATGTTTTTACAACTGCTGGTGGCGTGGTATTTATAGGAAAATCTGCCTACTATTCACCGTTTTTGTTAAACACGGTGAACACCATCACCGCGTTTGTCTCAAACGGTGAACATTAGGTAGCTGTGATCTCTTTTTCACCTACCAGGGGTGGGAAACGTGTGAAATACTCACCGTTTTAACCTAGAACGGTGAAGGTATTCACCGTGTTGCCCTAAAACGGTGACGAATTCACCGTTTTTAACTAAAACGATGATATCTTCACCGTTCTAGTTTAAAGCGGTGAATATATCACCGTTTTAGAGAAGAACGGTGAATACGTCACCGTTTTTTTTAAACGGTGAAATATTCACCGTGTTTGTCAAACGCGGTGATAATCTTCACTGCGTTTGTTAAAAATGGTGAATGCCAAACATGTGTAATTTTGGAAAAAAATTTATAACTTATGTATTTTTGGAAATTTTTTTAAGAACATGTGTACAGTGAGATTTTTTCCCAAAATTAGACACATCTTATCTATAAGTTCTGGTAGGTTGAATAAAGAATCGAGCTCATTCAACTAGCTTTTTACCAGCCCCGTTAGCCGGAGAGTTTCATTTTACCATTGACATTAATTCAATTTATCTATATGTTAAACTATTTTAGACCTTCTAAATTTATTGTATTTTGTATTGATAAGTGAGTATGTGGTGTGTCTATATATTGAAAATTCTCAATACTTAGCACACTCACTTATACTGTTTGAATTCTCTAATCATAAACCATGTCACAAAGGTATACCACGTCCATGTATAATTTTTTCTATCTTATATGAATCCATTTTGTTCAGATGAGGACATTTTACGGAGAGTTTCTTTGTATATATACTTCATTATTGGATAAATTTCTTCATCCCAATTTAAAGTTGACACTTTGAATGTTCATGAGGTTTACTGTAAGATCTTATTTGTATTTAGTCTCTTATACAATATGTATCAATTGCTAATTTCTGAAATTTAATTTGGACTAACTGAGACTCATTGTCGTTGTTTATATATTGTTTTAGAATCTCAATCCAAGATACTCACATACAGATTTTGATCTTAATATGGTGCGTTAGTGTATAATTTTACAACTTGTAGAACCTCTGTTTTCTAAAATTTATTTATGTTTGATATTTGTTTAGAAATAAAAATTTCATTACTTATGCTAATATATGCATTTTTTGTATTTCCACATTTATTGTCAATATATAAGCATATATATTAAAAAGAGTTTAATTATTTTTAAGTGTAATTAATGCTTGTTTTTTACCGGGATTTGTAAAATGTTAAGAAAATAAGGGAAATATGAACAATTGTAAAAGAAAATAAGGGATGGAAGGACATATTATAAGTGAGAGAAAAGCTATTCTTACTCATCATCTTCATTTATCTAATGAGGTGATCTATTCTTGCTCCATTGAATTTTTATCGAATTATTTTATTTCGTAAATATATTATAATCTATGCATGTGTTTTATTGCAAAAAAAATGCACGTGTTTGCTAAGAAAGATCATACCTCTTACGATGATTAACTTCTCTAATCTTGCTTCATAGGTCAGTGGTTGATGAACACATGATGTTTAACATACAGTTTAACAAAGATTCATCTAACTTTCACATGTATCATTTTTTAATGTATCTCGTGTCTCATCTTAAGATATGAAGTCAAGTTCATCAACAATCATACCGAAGTCATTTTAAATTTTTTGATTTAGAAACCTTGAAAATTTATTACTCCAAGTCTGAACATTAAATTTCTTAACATATGACGTAAAACTTCAGTAGAGTTTGCTAAATTAACACGATCTAGAGCAAAAATGCAAAATATTAGTAATTTTAAATTAGGATACATTGTAAATTATTGCACCTATGATTCATATTTTTTCACTTAATTAGAATGAATAAGGTTTTTGTTTAAGAAATAGATTTTATTGCTTGGTCAAGTTTCTATTAAAACGTTTCTTGTTTTCTCTCTTTAATTTCCATCATTATTTTGTCGCGATAAAATGTTATTATGTATGTGTGTTTGTATAAATTTTTCATCAAAATCTAACATATTTGTAAATTATTGTAAAAGTGAGTTAAAAATTTACTTAGTGAGCTTTAATAAGATATTTTTTTTGGTTGAGAAAAAAGTTATATGTGTGACTCAAAGATATTAGTCTATTGTTGCGTAAATCTATATAATGCAAAAGTAAAAACAAAAACATAAAGGAAGTGTTGGAAAAGAAAAATAAATATTAAAAAAGTTAGAGATAACAAATATAATTAAAAAAAGGATAAAAGGGAAATGAAATATTAAATGAAGAGAGAGATAGCTCCATAAATATATCAATAACTATTTTTCTTTTTGTAAAAATATTGTCCACCTTGGCAATTTGTGAGCTCTCCAAGTGCTTAGGTGGCAAACAATTACTTTTGAATTGCCATAATATTATGTATATAGGTAGATGATTCGTCGTGTTAAGATATAAATAGGTTGTGATAGGTGCAAAAACCATAAACCTCCAATAGCCCACTCTTTATCGTACAATCAAATTTTTATCCACTCCATCGTCAATTTCAAGAGGCATATGTTTCAACTTTCAACCAAAAATTCAATTTCTAATCCTCCTTCTGCAACTCCATTTATTAAACTCGATTCTATTCACCATGGATTGATATCGGAGTTGAAATATTCTACTTGCCCAGCTTAAATCCCTAACAATAAAACCGTAGTGCCTAGAGATACCAGAAGATTGATTTTCAAAGACGACCTTGTACTGGGAAGTGAAAGGAGCGCAAACTATTGCACGATATAGGGAATTTTGGAGGAAGTTCGAAAGAGATAAGGACAAAGATAAAAAAGCAAAAAAATTATATTTAAATTGAAAAATACATAAGGTAGACTTAGTGGGTTTGCTAATCATGATGAAAAAGTCCTCAGAATTTCAGAGTTTAATTTCGTGTATGTTTTTTTATTAAAAAAGATACAACAAAGTTGTTTAGTGTAATTGGTTGTGATTGTTATGTTTGTTGGAAGAGACCCGATTTCAAATCCTAATATTGATATTTTTTATACGAAATAAATAATTAATTATAAAGACCAAATTATCCTTCCTACTTTCACTCTCGTTGCAGGAAATTTGAAATACAGAAATGTACACAAAACTCTATCATATATTATTGGAGGATATTCTTTTTGGACTGTTGTTTGTATGCAGGTGAGGCAAAACCACAAAAGATCTTCCCACTTTGTTGAAACTGATCAAGGCGGAAGTTGAATGTGTTTTGGGGAGTCATAGGGGTCGTTTGCTTCAAGGATTTGGTACATGTACCAAAAAACTAACTATCAAGGATTTAGGTACAATCCGTTGTTTGCTTGCACCTTTTTTGAAGACCAAATCCGTGGGGCCCACGGAATTTAAGGGTCCAAATCCATGGACCCCACGGACTTATAAATCCCACATGTTGATGTGGGATTTGGAATATGGCATAAATCCTTGATGAGATTTTACCCATATACCCTCATGCACTTTTAATATTCCAAGGTTGCCCTCAAATTTAACTATTATACATTATAATTAACAATAAATGAATAATATAAGCGTTCAATTAATGTGCAAACATGAGTTAGATTTTTTATATCATTTCTTGTGTTCTAGTTTTCTTTGACCTTTTCATGGAACGTGTAATTCTTTGTTCTCCCGATTCTAATATATGTTGTGATATGTTACTTTTGAAAAGGAGGACAAAGAATTGGTAATTGATTATGTTACGTTAAAAGTCAAAACGGAATTTTCTCGTTTATTATTATTGTCCATGTGGCAACATTATGCTTATTAGTATGTATTGTCTTTGTTTTGTGTACATATCATAAACATGTCAAACATATAGAAAATGATAGTAAGGTAATTTTTGAAGTTTTGTCCTTGTTTTGTGTACATATCATAAACATGTCAAACATATAGAAAAGGGCAGTAATGTAATTTTTGACTTCAAGTAGTAAATCCCACACCTTTAAATCCATGATAAAAACATCCCAACAAACAAAGGATTGTTACAAATCCATGATGCCTCAAATCCTTGATAAATCCTTGGGTTTTTAAATTACAAAACCCTCATTTTTAAATCCTTGAGTAGTTTGTCTGAGTCTCTCAGAGGCTTCATAGTAGTAGTTGATATAGGCACATTGTACCCACCTTTTGGTTGGATACCTAGCTAGTAAGGCTCTTGCTAGCATCGCTTTTTAATGAATAAAGAACTCACCGATTCATTAAAAAAACATTTAATAAAACAAAAAAAAAAGTTTTCTATGGAAGGACATATTTACATTTAACCAAAATTATCGAGAGATATTGAAAATTTATTGATAAAAAATTTGGTGTGATAAATTAAAATAGAAAGGAATAGAGTAAGGAAACACAAATATCATAAATGTAATCAGAGATTTTATATTTATAAATTTTAGATACTTTAAATCTCTAAAATAAAATTCACCATACAAAATATAGTAACAAAAATCATAAAAAATAATAACAAAACATATGTTTCTACGAAAATATAAATTCAATAAATTCATACCCAAATTATTTTCTCCGAACCAGATTGTTTATCCAATTATCCCTTCCGAAGACGTTCAGCCCTACTGAACTGCCAACCCGAATGATTAAATCAAACGGGGTGGTCAATAGAAAAGTAGAAATCAAATACAAATCCCTTTGTTTGTTTGTTTCATTCACAAGAAAGAACACTCGATCAATCACTCCACTGATGTGTCTGTGACGCGGCTACCACTCTCAGCCCATCTGCGATTCACAGAAAGCGACAAACCAATATTGGGACCTGAGATGGCCACCATATCATGAATCTCCTTTACCTACCAATTCCCATTCGTTCAAAGTGCAAATCCAACTCACCCTGTTCTTCTTAGTTACGGAAGCTGAAGCTCTCTCAAACTTGCGAAACCCAGAGATTATTTCAATCGGCAACCCGAGATCATGTACAGGTCTGCGGTTGCCGCCAGGCTGCTGAGAGGTGTAGCCGCTATCCACAACGGTTCGGGCTCGCTAAGTTCGTTGCATCGTTCCAGGTATAGTGAGGAACGATTTCCTTTTCTTGGTATTGATTTTTTTTAACCATTTGGTCATCTGGGTTCGTCTTCCGTTTGTGGAAAATTTAGTGCATTTGTTGGGTTTATGTATTATTGGGTTTCTTGTTTGATTGCTTTGGCTCCGTGGCAGGCGATTTGCTCATTCTTTGCCCTTCGCAACCGTAGATGCTGAAGAGCTATCGGGTGATCGACCAGCTGAAGTACAGAACTTGGGTAGGTTTTTGGGATCACTGCTTCACTTCAATGTAGAAATGCAGATTAAATTACCGAGATCCACCTAGATAAAAAAAATGGCTGAGTCGTGTTTTGTGGCTGCCTTCTGTTCATCTACAGTGCAGGGGAAATGGGGAGGATCTTCCAGTTGGAACACAATAGTGGATCCCTTAAATGGGGAACCATTTATCAGAGTTGCTGAAGTAGATGAGAAAGGAATCAAGGTTAGTCCTTGATGGTGTTTCTTGTTCTGCAGTATTATTTTTTCCCCGTGCTAGCTTCTGGTAAGTTGCTGAAGTAGGTGCAATACATCTCATGATTGTTGGTCCGATTGTCTGGCAGCCATTTGTGGAGAGCTTGTCCAAGTGCCCTAAACATGGGCTACACAATCCCTTTAAGTCGCCTGAGAGGTTTGAGTTGATTTCTCAAACCCTTAAAGTTGTTATTTGTTTGATAGTGTCTAATTCCCTTTGCTGGTTTGGGCAGGTATCTTCTGTATGGGAACATTTCCTCGAAGGTAGGGCACATGCTTTCATTGCCGAAGGTAAGCATATTTGTGGAACTTTGATGATAACATTCTCATGGTTATCAGGTCTTGGTTGAACTTTATATATTGTTCTTCAGACGACCAGCTCAATTTGAATGGTCGTATATCCCTATGATTTTCAGGTTTCTGATTTCTTCGCAAGATTAATACAAAGAGTTTCCCCGAAGAGTTACCAGCAAGCTCTTGCTGAAGTTCAAGTCACACAGAAGTTTTTTGAGAATTTTTCTGGCGATCAGGTTGACCATCATCATTATACTCGAGACTTACCAATTTCATCATTGTAGATTAACAAGATTATTGTATTTTGTGAATAGGATGAAAAGTAACAGTAGATAGAACTGTTTGACCGAATATATGATTGACTAAGCTAGTGCTTCAATAAAGATTATTCCTTTGATCAATCTCCTGTATGAAATATTTCTTATACAGCAATATGCTTTTACACGCTCTGAAATTTACTTGTTTCTGTGATATCACTTCAGTTGTCTGTGTACATTTAACTTCTGTGTTCTGTTTATTGCTGACCGGTTCCTCTTTCAAACCTTGTGAATTTGCTAGGTTCGTTTCTTGGCAAGGTCGTTTGGGGTTCCAGGAAATCATCTTGGACAGCAAAGTAATGGCTTCCGATGGCCTTATGGCCCTGTAAGTACCACTGATAAAGTGATAATTTGCAATAGACAGTTTACAGGGACATCCTAATTTCCTGTACTTAGGTTCTTCTCCTTTTCTGTTTTGATGTTGTATTGGAGCTGTGCAAAACCATATATATACCGCAAGTGTAGCTAGTATATGGGAAAAAAATCTACTTCACAGGTTGTTCTATGCTCGTTTTCCAAGATCTTGAACCCTTTGATTCTTGTGAAGCTTTAAGTATCTGTAACTGATAGCCTAAGTCGGTTGATGTTTGCTCCTTCTTGTCTGCTAAGAGAAGTTCGATCGCTGTTCATAAGCCTTCCTTATTTATGCAGGTTGCAATTATTACTCCTTTTAATTTCCCGCTTGAGATTCCGGTTCTTCAGTTGATGGGTGCATTATATATGGGCAATAAACCACTACTTAAGGTTGATAGCAAGGTAAGTTCTTCCTTATCATTGCATAAATTGACAATAAATCAGTAGGTTTATAGCAATTTATATGTTGAAAGTGCATTCCTGGCTTATGTTGTCTTAGCTAGACAAGCTAGAGAGAGAAGGCAGAAACCTGCTATTCACAGCTTGCTTATGCTACTGAGGATGCACAGTGAACATAAATAGCAGCAAGCTGGCATATAGTCTTCTAGGTCTGCTGGCTTGGAGGCTTTTGTCTCAAATCCTCCCACTCCTATCTGTTTTTTTTTTTAAAATCTTTTCCTTACATGCCCTTCAGATTTTTTTGAGGCTGAATATGTGGCTGATATAATAACCTACTATCAACAGGTATCCATTGTTATGGAGCAAATGATGAGACTGCTTCACTATTGTGGGTTGCCTGAGGAAGATGTTGATTTTATCAACTCGGATGGGAAAACTATGAACAAGATACTAATGGAGGTTCGTTGTGCATGATTTGAATATGTCCCTTTTTCTTCCTCATGTGTGGGTGGGAGATCACTTTCTGTTTCTTAGGCTTGGAAAGTTATGCTTATATAACCCTTTACTTTTGCTTTTATTGTTATTTCTTTCTAAATGGGACAGCTATGTAATTTTGTGTTTGATTAGAAATGGTATCATCCCTTTTGTCATCTTTGGCAGGCCAATCCACGGATGACACTGTTTACTGGTAGCTCGAGAGTTGCAGAGAAGTTGGCTGTTGACTTAAATGGTCGTGTCAAGTTGGAAGATGCTGGATTTGACTGGAAAATTCTGGGTCCTGATGTTTGTGAGGTAGAATATCTAAGAAAGAAATATCTTTTATGGGCAATACCTGTTCTCCAGTTTTGTGCATCATATAGCTCTTTAAGTTACTCTCCACTTTCAATTTGCTGTAGGCTGACTATGTTGCTTGGGTCTGTGACCAAGATGCCTATGCATGCAGTGGTCAGAAGTGCTCTGCCCAATCCATTCTATTCATGCACGAGGTTTGCTCCCCCTTCCTTTTCTGAACAAATGAACAGTTATCAGTTTTCGCATTTAAATAGATGAAATTTTTGCTTCTTCCCTATTTTGTTCCACCTGGACCGTCCAAATCCACCACCCCCTTGTTTACATGTTACTGGTTTCCTTATATCTCCGTTGATCTATTGAATAATGTTGCAGAACTGGGCTGCTACTCCACTTCTTTCAAAATTGAAGGAGCTTGCTGAGCGGAGAAAATTGGAAGATTTAACTGTTGGTCCTGTTCTGACTGTAAGCACAAATAACATCTGCTCTTTGCTGTTCTATTTTTCCTTTGTGTTTCTTAGTTAAGTTAGCTTCGGAGGTAACTCAAATTAGTTCTCATTTGTTGTTGCAGGTTACTACTGAGGCGATGCTTGATCATGTGAACAAACTGCTGAACATACCCGGTGCAAAGCTGCTATTTGGCGGGAAGGCATTGGAGAATCATTCCATTCCATCCATATATGGTGCCGTCAAACCAACAGCCGTATATGTTCCTCTGGAAGAAATTCTCAAGGCAGGCAACTACGAACTCGTGACAAAAGAAGTATTTGGACCGTTCCAGGTAAAAATGAGAACAGAATAAATGAAGCTCCTCTCTTACCTTGCGTTTATGGTGTGGAGTGATTCCTGATCATTTGTAACAGAGAGAAACAAGACTAATGATTGACTTGACTTCTGGCATCTATCTAGGTGGTGACGGAGTACAAGGAAAGTCAACTCTCCATGGTATTGGAGGCTTTGGAGAGGATGCACGCGCATCTAACAGCTGCTGTAGTTTCAAATGATGTCCTGTTTTTGCAGGCAAGAACACTACGTTTTATCTTTTCTCACTCTTGCATATTTGAGTTCTAAGACCGAGTTGGATTCTGCAGGAAGTTATTGGGCAGTCTGTGAATGGCACGACTTATGCTGGGCTGCGAGCAAGAACAACAGGAGCTCCACAGAACCACTGGTAAGCTCTTTTCTCGAGGTTTAGCATTACGTGAAATTTTGCACAGTAATGTGACAGTATGGTACGGAAATGGCAGGTTTGGACCGGCTGGAGACCCAAGAGGTGCTGGAATTGGAACCCCAGAAGCCATAAAACTGGTCTGGTCTTGCCACCGAGAGATCATATACGACATTGGTCCTGTGCCGCAGCAATGGGAAATTCCTCCATCTACTTAAGAGAGAAACCCTTCATGATTTCCCCCGCTCTGCTCTAAACCGTTGAGATGCAGCTAACTGATGTATGAGAAGTAGCCAACCGTTATTGGACTACGAAGCCAATTACGTTGCCAATAAAATGAGATGTTTATGTGTTGAATTGTTCGGAGTATAGATCGTTCTTGGGACTAGTATATGATCTGGTCTTTGCCAAGAAATTGGTCCTAATCAGCATAGAACTAGATAAGAAATAAAGGAAAATGAGGTTCGAAGTTAATGGTTAGTGCAATTTGCTCAATCCGATTTCGATAAGGTCCTTTTTTGGTCATTCTAAGGGGATGTATAAATTCGAAACTAAATGAACTGAAATTGCTCCAGTTCTATTCTCATCTTTCTATAGGTTTTACAGAATCGAAACTAAAACAAACTATATTTACACCAATCTAATTTCATCCAAATATCAATTCGATTGTGATTCTTAATTTGAAAGGATGATCGACTCCATAGATCAAATGAAAAAAACCGCCCATTGATTGGGACCCGGACGATGCTACAAAGAATGACATTGCTAGAACTATCACTTCAGAACACAATCATGCAAAAAAAAAAAAAAAACAAATGTCAAATAGAAGCATTAACTGGTATAATAATCTCAGTAAATCAAAATTGGACTAGTTGGAATCCCAAGGGAGAATATGATGTGCCATGATACAGAAAACTCTTTCCCTGTTTGAGCTCAACTATCCACACCTTACCTCAAATGCAAAAAAAAAGACAGTCGTTACAAAAGACAACCTAGTTCTGCTCACCTTTAGCTTCACTCCTTATTCTGCTTATTGAAGTTGCTATAGAACTACAGACTGGGGCTTCCGAGGCTAGAGAGCCAACGCAATCCTTAATTGCTTTCAGCTCTTCGTGAAACTGGGTGTGCAGTATCAAACTGGAGAAGTTTTCATCCACTACCAACCCAAGACATCTGACAATGTCCTCAAGTTTAGGAACCCAATCACAAGCTTTTAACCCTAATGCCTTAGAAGCCTTGGGACAAGGGACCGCCTCAGGAAATCTTTCATATTTCTTCAACCATTTCCCCAAGTATCTTACCAAGCTCATCAACTCCCTACTGCTCAACTTACCAATCGCTGATGACATAATCACCTCATCAATATTTGAAGATGCTAGCAAGTAATGCAGGCAGAGCTCGGAAGTCGAGAAGCTATCATAAGCAAGCATAAGCAGAACTGCAGCCTCTTTAGCCAACCTCGCCTTCTTGTTGTCCACCAAGCTCATGTCACTTGCTTTGTCAATGGCAGTCAAAGCTTGGCTTTCCCATTCTTTCCTTACATCTGCCATAGTATTGTAAGCCTCTCTTGATGGGCACAGGAAAAACCGCAGAATCCCAATCAGTTCCGACAGTCCAAGATCAGTGGCATGTTTGATGCATAGGCAAAGTAAATCAGACCTCTTTTGGGAAATCAGGCTCTCAACCAAGCTTGAATAACACGAATGGCCAACTAACCGGTTAACAATCAATGTCTCCGCCATGTCCCATATCTCAAACTTGAGACTTGCTTCCAGAACCAAACTCGCCACATCTCGACCCATAAAAATCCCTACCTTCCGGAGCAATGCACAGGTATAATCCGCATCGTTAGAGGAATCGGCAGCCACAGTGAACCCTAACATCTCCTTAACTTCCTCAAGAAATGGCTTCAACATTGTAATGAACTTGTCTTTACTGAAACTGTTGGTGTCCTTGAGCTTCCGCTTTAGCTTTGCATGGAACTTCTTGCTAAGGTCGAGGAGTTTGGCATCAGTTTGAGAGAGTTGCCATCCAGATACCGGGCTAACAAGGACAGCAGCATTTAGGGTTTCAAGCTGAGGCTTCAAATTCAGAAAAGTATCATCTGGATTTAGGATTATAGGGTATTCTGACGGGTTAGCAGTATCTTTGGATGTGGTAGCAGCCTTTGTGATCACTTCCAGCAACGACATGGCAAAGTGTGGCGAAATGGGAGCTTGAAATACTTCGCAAGGAAACAAGCAAAAGCTGGAGAAAAACAACACAACCAAACAAAGAGAAGGTAAAAACCCCATAAGGCAAATCGATTTTCCACTAACTAGCAATAGCTTCAAACCGCCATTGAGAATGCCAAGTTCAAAAGAGGAAAAAGAACACGTTGGCTGCAGAGGTTCAGAGATTAGCCCGAAACAAGAAGGCGGCGAGCAACCAAATATCAAATGCACATACAACCTTAATTGTCCGGGAAGAGCACAGAGGCGTACCCTGGAGAAGCTAGCTAAGCCTGTGTACTGGAACTTGATGCTTTAGCTCCGACTGCAGCAGCAACCAAGCAAATGGCGAATCCGAAGGTTTAACGATGCACAAATTGGGGCTAGGGTTTTACAGAAAGGGTTTATTTGTCGAGAGAGAAACTCTTTCTGCTTTCTTTATTTTTGCATTTTTCTTGGTTTTGTTTTTTTGGGCCCTTTTATCTGCTGTTTTGTTTGGTTTGGTTTATTTTGGGTTTGTTGTGGCATGGGCTTTTAACCGGTGAATGTGGACTCCTCCATTGAGCTTCTTTTTTCTTTTTCTGTAGAGGCTAGAGGGCTTTTCAAACAGACTTATTACTTATTAGAGGGGCCTACGGATATGTAACGAGTTGGTAACAAATCGACACATAGATTAGATCATATAGAATCGAGAATAATGTGATCTGATTTTTGTTCTATTAATTTTTATAAATATTGAAGAAAAATGGAGCAAAATAACATTTGTACCGGACGAAAGCGAACTTCACGCAATGTTGATATGGTGTTTGATCCTACAATGTCTTTTACTATCAGACCATGATTTTCAAGAGTTTCATCTAATTCAAAGTATTGCGCAAGCACAACCCTAATTGCAGGTTAACACATCTCCATTATTTTTTATACATATACCTACACATTTATTATCATAATATAACAAATCTAATGTCCAAAATTTCTTTAACTGACTGTTAAAACTTAAAAGGTGGAAAATGATCAAATTCCATCTCCACTTAGTAAATCGTTGTTCTCTTTTCCCGTTGAAATAAAAAAGAAAGATAAAAAAATTAGGAGTAGAAAAAGAAGATTTAAAATTTAAGTAAGAATAATTAAACAACGATTAGTGAAAAAATAGTAAAAAGATATATTTGTTAATTTACTATAATACAAGAGTATACTCTGTGATTAACTCAAAAAATACAACGAGGACTCATCCGTGATTCTCCAGGTAATTTGATTGATACAATGTGTCAACATCAATAAGTTTTATTAAGGAGAAGTATGCATGAGTAAGCGTCTGTAAAAATAAACCGTATCAAACTTAAACTAAACCAAACTGTGAAGTTCGTAAACTATCTAATTTCAAATTGAATAATGTTAAAGATTCTATCTGAAACCATCCAAATAAAAAAAGAATATTTTGATCGAGTTCGGTGTTGTTAGACATATCGATCTTAATCATAACTTGAAATTAGAAAATATAATTTTTGAGTGTGATCTATTATTTACTTGACGTATTTATCATGTTATATATAGACATAAACGGTATTGAACACAAGAATGATCTCGAATGCAACAACTGTATTAATCCGACCTGTAAAAATCTAGTATTTAGCATGGCGAAGTGATAGCAACAACTGTATGAATCTGCCCACAACCTCCCAAACCAAAAAACCCTGCGCAATCGTCGATCCATCATAATCACGATCGCTCCACCGCCATCAACAACAGTGTACCTTACCTGGCCACCATTCAAGTTAAAGTACATCCATCCATCCATTCACCATCCATCCCTAACTAGAAAAGCTCCAGTCCCTTTCTTTCTCTCTCTTTCACTCCCCGATTCTCTTCTCTCTCTCTCTCTTCCTCCCCATTTTAACTTATTAGGCAGCGGCGGTCGGCAAGAACGATGCATTCATGGTTGGCTATGGTGATGGAATCGGAATATACATATGCATTATGCAGACACACAGATCGGGCAACGATGGGACCTCAAATCAGTAATGGGATATATGCATGCAGAATTGCAGACTCTCAGTGTTGGCAGAGCAGAGCAGAGCAGAAGCAGCAGTAAATGAGATCAGTAAAACGTTACGTGGATGCCCTGCTGCCTACGTTGCTACATTCACAAGCAAACTTCAGCCTGGAACCATGTGATCGTCATTAATGATCCTCAATCAACCAGTGTTCTCTCACCTTTGCGTGGTTTTACAACTAAATTCTGCCTGAGATCCAGGGCTCCCTCCAATGCAGGCTGTCTCCGGTCTCTCTTGCTCTCTGCATTGATCAACTAATCACACTACCAGATGTTATATAGTTTGGCTCTTCTCATCAGCTTTCTTCTTTGTGCCGAGTCGAGTAATCGATCATTCGTTCAGTGGCAGCGCTGGCAGGGGGGGCTTGTTCTTCCCTTGCAAGTTGCAACCTGTTGATCCCAGTAGCAGGTGTTCCTGGACATTTCAGACAGATCAAGTGATCAAGGGCCGTTATGATTTTCTGGGAAATCGATATATAATCATGTACGTACGTTCACATCGACCATAGGATGTTCTAACCACACCATCTCCGTCAAAAGGTTCGACGTTCAAGCAGCCAAAATTAAACATGAATTCGGTTCAGTTGAGTGACTGTTGCATCAGAAACTATACTTAAAAGGGAGGATGCCCTTTTCCTGCACGGCAGGACTTTATGAACTGTGTGTGACATTTGAAACCAGAAGATCTGCTGGAGATGTGTTCAATCAAAAGCCATCCAACCTTGATCATTTATTACAGTCATGAGAAGTCTGTTCTCTTAGCTATTGATGATCTAGCAGCAGATACATGAGCTCATGCTATTCACATTACCTAGTAGAGTTGCACCATTAGTTGCTTCTCTTAGGTCAACTAGCGTTCAAAGATGAATTCATTTCTCCAAAAGGGTAAATTCTTGTTGGAACTCCTAGTTGCCTATCTAGCATCCAAGCTCCAAATCCACAACATGAAAAAACATTGAATAATCAAGTTGTTTTTCCTAAACTGCAATTGCCTAGCCCTAATTATAGCTCGATATCAATAACAGCAAAATAAAGGAAGGAACATAAAACCAACCTTGCTTTTCATGGTTCCAGTGCCACCATTTGCAGTTAGAGCCATTGAAAGGAGGAACACAAGGCATATTCAGCTGCACAATGCAGAGATAGAGAGATCATGATTCAGATTCTGCCACATTGTAACAAGGAAGGGACACACAAGGCACGAGGACCAAAAAAACACAAATCCATTGAGCTAGAGATTCCTCTCAGCAGGAGGGAAACCAATCAAGGGAAATACAGGGCAAAAGAAGCCCATCCTAATCCTCCTAACATATTGTACATTCTACAAGGAACCTGCAATTCACTACTCTTGCATTACATCTACAAAACTCTTCGAATCCTTTCAAAGGACATTTTCTCTTCCTCAAGAAACAGAATTGCTAAGCCAAATCCTGCTCAATACAACCTCTTGAATCATAAAGTTGCGAACTTTTTCTTCGAGGGCTCCACTTCTATGCTTCGGGGTAGTAGTCCCTCTCCAAAGAAAGATTGATGATTGATCATCATTTGATTATGTTCCTTGGGCAATCCTTTCCTCATCCAACTCGAAATCGGAACACCCAGGAACCAATCATTAAAGTTGAGAAAAAAGGGCATATAATCATTTTCTCTTTTACCTCATCCACCCAAAAATCTTCTCTTGCTACCAAAAAAAAGCCAATTTGCAGCTTAGCTATCTATAGTAACATTACACCTAAGAAGTTTGTACTTGTGCCGCGGGAATCCGCCGCGGCGGGGGAAGAGGCGGAGGCCGCGGTGGCGGCGGTCTCCTTTCCGAATGTACCCCACGGCTGCGACTAATGATCATTTCTGACCGGAGATAGAGACGATCCGACGGCTGTACGTCGCTCCACCTATGGGTTTGAATTTCCCGGCCGGCCGACACGATTATGCGATGCTCCAAGCGGGCCCTGTCAGCCGTGGAGACCGACCCGGATGCCGAACCCGATCCGTCACCCTGCTGCTGCCGGGTCAAGAGCAGCCCGTCCTTCCGCTGGTAACGGTCGAAGCAACCGACGGCCACGGTAGCTGAATCGGCACTTCCTCGCTTCTTCTTCTCCAAGCCCGCAATCGACTTTCTCACCGATGGAGTCGAGCTTCCAGAGAAAGTGCTCTTCCTATGGGAAGAAAAAATCTGGGAGAGAAACCCGCTCGCTGTTCCGGTCGCCCTCTCCCCCGCCGATGAATGCCTGCCGGCGACTCGACGGGAGCTCTGTTCGGAGACAGAGGCCGAGGTATTAATGGAGGAATCCGGTTTTCCGGTTTCAATGTCCGTCGTAATCGGATGACGAGGCTCTTCCAATTCGGCTTCGATTGCAATTCCAGGCGAGCCAGACACGGCGGCGTTTTGGGTTTCCGCCTGTGACGACGCGGCGGGGCGTTCTTCTTCTTCCACCTCCTCGTCGCCGCCGTCGTCAATTGCGATGAGGACGTCCTCCGGATGGACGCGGTGGCGGCAGAGAGGGCAGGTGGAGTGGGCGTCGAGCCAGGTATCGACGCAATCGACGTGGAAGGCGTGGCGGCATTTGGGTAAGAGGCGGAGAACCTCGGGGTTCTCGAACCGATTGAGGCAGACGGCGCACTCGAGCCCGTCCTTGTGGCCTCTGAGCGAGCTGAACCGGAAGAGGGGCAGGGACTCGATCACCGACCTGTCGACGCCGGAGTTTTTCCTGGCCAGGTTGTTGGCGCCGTGGTAAGGAGGGTTTCTGGCGCTTTCGGGGGGACGCTTGCAGTGCTTGGCGTAGAGGAGGAGGAGGAAGGTGACGGAGAAGACGGTGGTGGAGATGGCGACGACGACGGCGAGGCTGGGGCGGAGGGCAGGGGTTTCGCCGGAGTTGAGGAGGGCGGGGAAGTCGGGGGGAGGGGAGAGGTAGCCTGGGAGGGCAATATCGCCGATGGGGTACGGTGGAGGGGGAGGGTTGGGTTGTGGGGGTTTGGAGTCGTCGGCGGCGGAAACAGGGGAGAGGAGGAAGAGGAAGAGGAGGAGTCGGCGGTGGAGCATGGTGGCGGCGGTGGTGGGATTGGGGGAGAGGAGAGGGAATGCGGTGGATGGGGGGAAAAGGGGGAAGGTCCTTTTTGGGGGGTTGTAGTTGATTAGATTAATGGCGGAGAAGGGGAGGATGGAGCCATGGATGGAGGGAGAGAAAGTTCAGAAGAAGAAAAAGAAAGGGGGGAAAAAGAGACAAAATAACCGAAACACTGGGGGTGGGTTCAGAAAGGAAGGGAGGGGAAGCAGCAAACACGTGACGCATGTTTTCGCGTCTTCCCCATTGCATTTTTTGCAACATTCCCCACACACACACAGCAGCAGCAGCACACAGAATTTTAAACTTTTTTACATAATAATTAATTTAGACATTAGAAGATTTTATTTAAATCCACATCATTAATTAGACCTAGAAATATAACTAAACTGTCCTAATACATCACACAAAGTTACCTGAACTATCAGTTCCTAGCGTTTTAGATTAGATTAGTCTGATAAACAACAAATAGAGTTTTTGTCTAATGATACCACATTTATTAATTTTCATCCTAATTGTCTTGAACTTGAATTTTAGGATGAATTTTTCTTCCCGCGCAAACTTCATAACTAACAGTGTGGAAAAAATCCATGTAAACATAATCTCGTTCATTTCTATCCTAGGAAAAATGTTTGACATCAAAATTGAATTTGAGATTTGACCGTATTCAAGCTTTTATTTATATATTTTTTTTTTATATAAATGAATGCAGTGCATCTCAGTCTTCATTCAAAACCAAACGGGGTTTAGAGATCTCTTGGCAATCGTACATAATGTAGTTAAGCAAAACAGGGTCCGGATAGGAAATGGAATGGTAACCTAGTGGCAACAAATGCCCACGACTAGCAAGATGATTAACACATTTATCCCCCCTCTCTAAAAATATGGGAAACAACAACTTCCCATTGACGGGTGAGCAGCTCTTGGAATCTCTGGATAATGGCCGTCTGCTGGTGGTCTTGCGCATCCAAATTCTGAAGTAGTTGGACCGCACAAAGAGAATCCAGCTCCACCCTGACACGTCGATGGCCCGTGTCCCAAGCCAACTGCAACCATTCTACCGCGCCTCTCAACTCAGCCCGGGTGATAAAGCAACTCCCCAGGTTAATCGCGTACGGTGCAAGGTAGCGTCCAGTATGATCTCGAATCAGATCATCGGCCAAAGCATGGCCTGAGTCCGTATGAACGGAGCCGTCAGAGTTGAGAGTGACCCACTCGGGAGGTGGGGGCTTCCAATAGATCTCCACCTCCGTTCTCATGGGCAAACGAGGCTGGTCAGAGTTGAAAGTGACCCACTCGCGAGGTGGGGGCTTCCAATAGATCTCCACCTCCGTTCTCATGGGCAAACGAGGCTGGTGAATGAGCCTGTCTTTGTCCAAGGCATTCTGCACGACATTTATCCATGCCCGGACGCGCTGTATGAAAGCCATAGTGGTCGTGATGTTGCCTGCGAAGACTCAATCATTCCTAGTCCGCCAAAGGGACCATCAAATAATGCCAAACTCAAGGCTAGTGTGTTCCTGTCGGACATGGTGAAGGATCCAATCCTGCAAGTGGGATCTGAAAAATCGCTGGCGGCCAGAAGGCTGAATGAACTGCGTCCAAGTTAACCTGGAAAATTCACAATCTCGCAACACATGCAAGATTGTTTCTGGGGCCGCTTTACACTGCGTGCATAGGTTCGTGGCGAAGAGATGTCGCCGATGTCTTTCGTCGTTGGTGAGGAACCTCTCCCACGCTGCTAACAAAGGAAATGGGTTATTCGTGCAGGTCCTCTCCACCTCCAAATGGCTCGCCAGTCGAAAGTGTTATGAGCCTCTTCTCCTTCGGTAAGGAGCTGGTACACAGACTTTACCCGGAATCGACCGTCTCGCTCCGGGCCCCAGATTGAAATGTCAGCGTCGTACCCTTCCTTCGGGATTTGCACGCCCAGTACCTGCAAAACAAGCTCTTCGGGAAGATGTGAACGAAAAAGTGGGATATCTCACTCACCATCAGGAGTAGTGAAATGCGCCACCGGAAGGGTGGGATCCGGTGGACAACTTGCATCCAGTGCATGGTCAATGAGCATCTCCCCCGAATCTCCCCATCTGTCCATCCAGAAACTGGTGTCACGCCCGTCCTTGATACTCATACGCATGCCCAATGACATAACCGGCCACGCCTTCCTGATGTCACGCCAGAGATTAGAAGCTCGCGTCATTGACTTCGCCTGTAATGCGCCTCCAACCTGCTTAAAATACTTAGCCTGCAACACTTGAACCCACAACTCATTTGGTTTTTTAACAAAAACCCAAGCAAGTTTCGTTAGAAAAGCGAGATTCAACTCATGTGTTTTCCTGAGACCTAAGCCTTCCTCCTTGGGTTTGCAGATGCCCTCCCAGTGAACGAGATGAATCTTACGAGATTCGGCAGTGGACCCCCAGATAAATCTCCGGACACGCTTGTCAATTTCGTCACAAATTGCTATTGGCAGCAACGTTGTTTGCATTGCGTAGGTGGACAAGGAGCTAAGCACCGAAGTTGCCAGGGCCATTAGCCCCGCCAGGGTAAGCGTTGTGGCCTTCCAAATTGCAAGCTTGTTATCCAGGCGATTCAAAATGTATTTAAAGGTACCTTTGGTGACGCTTCCATGAAGGACCAAAACGCCGAGATACCGCCCAAGATCTTGTGTTGCCGGAATACCAAGGTGTTGCGCAATCGCCGAGCTGGTCGGTCTCGCAGTGTTTCCGAAAAAGAACACTACAAACTTCTCTCTGCTCACCTGTTGGCCTGAAGCCTGACAGAATTGTTCTAGGCAGTTCATAATGATCTCGCTCTGCGCCAAACTCGCTTATGCAAACAAGATTAGATCATCAGCAAAGAATAGATGGGAAAGAGGAGGCCCACAGAGTTTAATTTGATCGGCTTCCACTTTCCTTCCTCAACAGCCTGCTCGATGAGGTGGCTCAATCTCTCCATGCATAAGGTGAAGAGGTATGGCGAGAATGGGCAGTCCTGGCGGAGCCCTCTAGATGGGGATAAAGGGTCCGTACAATCGCCATTCCAAAGCACCTATATAGAAGAGGACGATACACACTGCATAATGACTTCCACTAGCTTCTCGGGGAACCCGACCCCACGAAGAGTATCAAGAAGGAAGTCCCAGCTTAGACGGTCATACGGTTTAGCCAAGTCAATCTTGAGGACCGTCTAACCCTGTTTACCCTTTTTCAGGCCCATCGAGTGAATCACTTCCTGAACGATGATGATGTTTACCGAGATGTGATGACCCGGGATGAAACTTGTTTGAGTGGGGTGAACCAGCTGCTCCATCCAAGGTTTGATCCTGTTAACGATACACTTGGCTAGTGTCCTAGTGATTTATAAACCACATTGCATAATCTGATAGGCCGGAACATCTTGATCGATTCCGGGGTTTCTTTTTTAGGAATCAAGGCCAGGAGAGTATCATTGACCTGCCTAATACCCTGCGGATTATCAAAGCAGTCAATCACAAAACTAGCAAAGGAGTCCCGGACTTTTTCCCAACATTTCTGGAAGAAAATTAGAGGGTAGCTGTCCTTGCCCGAGGCCTTCAATCCTCCCATACTGCGGACAACCAACCAAACCTCCTCCGCTGTCAACTGTCGAACGAGGCTTCCAGCTTCATTTCCCGTGATGCGCTCAAACCTTGCGAGTAGCACCGGGGTCTGTCCTTCTTCTGCCGAAAACAAATTCCTATAGAAGTCTCTGACATGATTCATGAGAGCCAGCTCATCCTCGATCCAGTTCCCCTCTTCATCTCGGAGCCCCACTATCTTGTTGAATTTCCATCGTTTGACAGTTGCCAAGTGATAGTATCAGGTGTTTTTATCGCCTTCAACTATCCACGTTTCTCTGGATTTTTGGAGCTACAAAATTTGTTCCTGCCAGAGCGCCTCATTAAACTCGGCTCTTACGTGGTCCTCCTCCGCCAGCGACGCTTGATTGCCTCCTTGATCATTCAGCAATTCAAGCCGTCGGAGGTCACCCAGAAGTTTCTTCTTGCGTTTGATAATGTGGCCAAAAACCTCACGATTCCAGACCTTGGGGTCTTGGGTTAGAGCATCGAGCTGAAGCGGAAGCCCATATTTTTTCACCCAGGCTTCTGCAAGGTCTCTTGGGAAGTCTTCGTGAGCCATTCAAGCTGCCAAAAATCTATATGGTCTGTTGCCTCGTCCCCTCCGAGTCATTCCAGGGCAGCCCAAGATTGGTCTATGATCCGAGCCGAACCGCTCGAGATGCTTGGTGATAGTATCAGGGAACTTCACCAGCCACCGCTGGTTACACAACACTCGATCAAGCCTCCGATATAGGTTCCCCCGCCGCCAGGTGAACCGTGGGCCTGTAAACCCCACTTCATGTAATTGGCATTCATCAATGCATTGTCTGAATTGCTGGACTATGACTTCTTGAAATCCTGCACCCCTCATCACGTCGGCTGGTCAGAGAATGGAGTTTAAATCTCCGATTAGGAGCCACGGGATAGTTGCTTGATTTGTCAGCCTTCTAATTTCCATCCAGAGCGACTGCCGGGTCCCCGCATTAGGACTACCATAAACCGCAGAAACGAGGACGTCACGTTCCATGGACCCTCTTATGGAGCATCGAACATGAACCATCTGCTCCCACTCGCACAAAGAAGTAACCTTTAGGTTGGCTTTATTCCAAAGCATCCATATGCCACCTGCAAAACCTACTTCATCCACCACGATAACCCCGTCAAACCCCGTCCGAGAAATGACAGACTGCGCCGTGACGCCACTGATACGCGGCTCCACTATGATAACCATGTCAGGTTTGTTTTTCTGACAAATAGACAAAAGTTGCGGAATGAAAAGATCGTTACCTGCACCTTGGCAATTCCAAGATAATATATCAATCATAACTAAACAGAAATAAGTAAAGTTAATCAAAAACAGGAAGAGAACTTCCCTGAGAGTGGCTATGCCGCAAATAACCAGGAGCGAGTAAGTCAGGGAGCGGGTGGGTTCCTGATCCCGCTTGGGCCACTAGGCACCTTTTCTTTCAACTGCATTGAGGCAGTGGGTTGTCCTGGAGGTTGTACATAACTACTATGGGGGAGGTCCGTCTTCCTTCCCTTCCCTTGAGCTGGTTGCGCGGGCACTGCTTTCGGCTTACTCTTCTGTTTTTTATTTAAATCCACCATTATAGGCGCTCGTTGACGGCCATCCGCCAGGGTGGACGACGTCATCCCTGTTCGCTGGGAACTAGGTGGAGTCAGCTTGCTTTTTCCCATCGTCACAAGCTGCACTGGGACATTGAACAATGCCTCGGCGCGGGTGATATTCGATGGGCTGCATTGCGCAACCGGCTCTGCATGGCTTGCATGGCTCATCTCCGGTGGGAGGGCCCCATGCGATAGCTGGGCAGGGGAAGGCACCTTCTCGCTTTCCTGTTGATTAGCTTGTACCTCCATAGTTGCGGGGCCAGAGTTGCCAGTGGTATCCAAGTTAGTGCCTTCAGTATCTAGAACATGGAAACGGGAGCCCGACGCCACTTTTACATCCCTCGCATGGATATTAGAAGGCTCCCCCATAGGTTGTGTCATTCCCCCTTGGGTCGATGTCGCTTTCTTCTTCTGGTTACGATTACGAGGCTTCGCTATCATCCATTCCCCATAGATTGGGGCTGGAGCAGGGGTATGTGATGGCTGACTCTCTTCCTCCATGGGCGGTGCATGGAAAAGAGATGGGCAAGCTTTCTTAGAGTGCCCGTATCGACCGCACTCTAGGAAGATTTATGTAGTCCCTCAAACTCCACATAATAGGTGATGCCTTCAATCTTGTACTGGGATAGCAGAGGCTTTGTTAGGTCAACCTCCACACTGACTCTAGCAAACCGTCCACGATCGCCAGTCTGGGTAGCACAATCAACCCTTACGGATTGCCCAATTCTGGATGCAATGCGTTCCACTGCTTCACTGTTAATAAACTCGTTCGTAGTCCACCTGACTTGTAAATCTGACGGCATAGAAACCGTAGGAGAGACTCGAAATATGTAGAATCCCACACTTAGCCCACAACGATTCCAGGCGTTTCGAGATCACCGGAAACGGGAACGTGCGGCCTAAGACCTTCACAATGAGACTTGAGAGCAGAGGCCATTCCCTTCTCCACCTTTGTTTCTCCATTGCCGTGAAGGGGATCGTTGGGCAGCGGGGATCATCGTCCTCTGACACCTCATCGTCGAGGTCGTCTTCTCTCATAGCAGCAAC